CGGAAGTGGCGCTGTAGCTCAAGTGGTAGAGCGCTCGCCTTGAGCTGAAGAGCTGAGGGACAGCGCCCAGGCCCAGAGTTCAAGCCCCACGACCGACCAAAAAAAAAAGTGCAATGGATGAAAAAGGGTCAGGAAGACAGAAATATTGAAAAGAGAAAGAGAGAGACACTGAGAAAGAGGTCAGGGGTAAAGAAGAGAAGAGAGAGATCTATGAGATGGAGGCAGAAACAAAGGAAAAGGTAATAGGAGATAGAAACTACCCCCAGGACTGAGGGTGTGGCTCAGTGGTACAGTGCTTACCTAGCATGCATGAAGCCCCGGGTTCCATTCCTCAGTACCATATCAACAGAAAAAAAGCCAGAAGTAGTGCTGTGGCTCAAGTGGTAGAGCACTAGCCTTGAGGCAAAGAAGCTCAGGGACAGTGCCCAGGTCCTGAGTTCGGACTGGCAAAACAAAACAAAACAAAAAACTACCCCTAAAGACAGATGGAATGATGGAAATAAACATTCAGAGACAAGTCAAGCATGGTGGCGTACACCTTGTAAGGCTGAGGTAGGAAGATTTGAAGTTAGAGGCCAGCCTACGCTATAGAGCGAGTTCTAGGGGCTGGCCTCCGAAACTCACAAGACCTTAATCTAAAAACAAAGGAACAAATATGTAACGAAAAAGAAAAAACAGATTTGGAGACTGAGAAAGAGGAAAAACCCAGAGGGACAAAACAGACACTACTCTTAGCAAGAGATCTTGCAACTTCTCCAGCAAGAAGGGCAGGATCAGGGACCTTTGAAGCACTCCAGAACCTGCTGAGCCCAGAGATCTCCACGCACCCAGACCCCTGGCCAATCCAACCCCAAGACTCCATCCCCACCCCACCCCAATCCTACCGCTTCTGGAGTCCTCTGGAGATACTTTAGGGCCGCTTGGGGCCAGGGCCGGGCAATGTTCTCTGACCCTCTACCCGGCTATTTATCTCCCCTAATGCCCCCTAGAGTGGGAGCTGGGTCTGTTTCTTGGCATGAGGCAGCACCCCCTTTTCACCTGTGACTCATCCTCTCCCGGGGGGGTATGACGTCACAGCTACCACCAGGGACCAGGGACTGAGGGTATCAGACAGGATCAGGACTAGGCAGCAACCCTCTGTACTCATGTGAGATCGTACCCACCCCTCCCCAGGGAATAACCTGCCCTCCCCCAAGCCCCGATCTCCCCTCAAGAAGTCACAACCAGGGCCTTTTAATACAGCAGCTTTAATACCCGCCCCCCCCCAAATCAGCACCATAACATCACAGGCTTGGGTCAGGCAGAGTCACATCCGTTCACTGCCCACAGCCCCTCCCTCCAGCCCCCCACAAGGAGTCATCTGTCATGGAGGCAGGAGCCACAATAGGGGTTTGTCCATTCTGGGGGGAAGGCTAGACCCGCAGGACACACACGCACTTGCTCATGTGCATGTGGGTCTCTAGCACCAAGTGGAAGACAGCAGAGCCCTGTTGAGCCCTGATGTCTCCAGGGGACGCTGACCGTCACCATCATCACCATCATCACCATCATCATTATCATCTGGGCCTCAGCTTTAGGCAGCACCTGAGTGGGGGAAGGTGGGGAAAATGGTTTTCAACCTTCCAACTCAATGTGTAAGCAAAGCTGGGCGCCAGTGGCTCATGCCTTCCAATCCTCCCTACATAGGAGGCTGGGATGGGCGGATTGTAGTTTGAAGTCAGCCACAGCAGACAAATCCATGAGCCTTCGCTCCAACAACCAGCAAAAATCCTGAAGCAGAACTATGGCTCAAGGAGTAGAACATCAACTTGGAGGGAAAAAAGGACAGAACCCAGGGCCTGAGTTTAAAACCCAGGACCACCAGGTGTCAGTGGCTCACACACCCGTGATCCTAGCTACTGATCACCCGAACACCAGAAGTGGCTCTAAGTGGTAAAGAGCTAGCATTGAGCAAAAAGAGCTCAGAGACAGTGCCCAGGCCCTGAGTTTAAGCCCTACTACAGACGAAACAAAAAACAAAAAAAAGACAGTAATGAAGTGCATGCATGCATGTGTGTGTGCATGCATGTGTGCACATACACACACACACACTTCAAAAATAAAAAGCCAGCCAAAAGGGAGAGAAATTCTGACATAGAAGTCTCATACAAGGGCTGGGAAGGTGGCTCAGTGGTAGAGTGCTTGTCTTGCATGCATGAGGCCCCGGGTTTGATTCCTTAGCACCACATAAGCAGAAAAATCCAGAAGTGGTGTTGTGACTCTAGTGGTAGAGTGCTAGCCCTGAGCTGAAGAGCTGAGGGACAGCGCCCAGGTCCAGAGTTCAGGCCCCACAACCGACAGAAAAAGAAAAGAAAGAAAGAAAGAAAGAGAAAGAAAGAAAAAAAAGAAGTCTCATACAAAGGGAACATGGCAGTTGCTTATCAAGCATGAGGTCCTAAGTCCAAGTTCTAATACTGCCAAATACCCCAAACAAAACAAAATAAATAAATAAAAAGGAATATGGAAAGAGACCATGCCGGAAACACTATAACTGAGGCATTTTATCTGGTCAGTTGGGTTTCAACCCTGGGTGCTGTCCCTTAGCTTTTGCACTCAAGACTGGTACTCTAGGGTTGGGAAGTGGCTTAGTGGTAGAGTGCTTGCCTAACACGCATGAAGCCCTGGGTTCGATTCTTTAGTACCACATAAGTATAAAAAGCTGGAAGTGGCACTGTGGTTCAAATGGTTGAGTGCTAGCCTTGAGCAAAAGAAGCTGAGGGACAGTGCCCAGGCCCTGTGTTCAAGCCCCAGGACTGGCAAAAGCTAAATAAATAAATAAAATTTAAAAAAAAAACAGCACTCTATTTGAGCCACAGCTCCACCTCTGGCTTTTTGGTTGTTATTTGGAGCTAAGAGTCTCATGGACCTTCCTTCCCAGTTGAGATCCTTAGATCTCATCCTCTGGAGTAGCTAGGATCACAGGTGTGAGTCACTGGTGCCTGGCTTGTATCCAGTTCTTTGATTCTGTGTGATCTGGAGTTCTCCTATCTGAGAGCAAGCCCCCTGATGAAGTAGAGCCAGGTTCCTACCTGTTCTCTGGCCCTGGATCCCCCGTGGTGGGCAACGGCGCTCACAGGCCTCACGGGTCCCAAAACGGTTGGCATTCCCTTCGCAACCGCCGTAGACAAAGGGGTGACAAGCTGTGCCACCTGGCACGGCTCGATGGTACCAGCGGAGGGTATAGGCTGTACACGAGCCCTCGTCCAGGGGCAGGGAGCAGGGGTCTGGGAATAATGGAGATCAGATGGGCAGGAACCATGGGACTCACAGAGACCTGGGGGTCCGTGAGAGGTCAGGGCTGACCTGCACCCCGTGCCCCTCTCTGCCCAGCCCTTGTCCTCACCATCGTCATCCCAAGGGACTTCAGGATCCTGGTAGTCTTCTACAGAATATTCAGAGTAGTCAGAGAGTTCGTCGTCTTCAGGGGGCACCTGGCCTGTAAGTGGGGTGCATCGTGCTGTCATCCTCACCCCCGCCCCACCCAGGGCAGGATGGACGGCTCTGATCACTCCACACGTGTGAGCCCTAAGTACAAGGTGTGCGCTCTGCACTCAGGCCTGCTCATCCTCACCTTCGTCCTCTACGTGAGAGACCCGGAGCACAGGTACCCGGTGGAGTTGGGGACCAGCCGTGTCTGCGGCATAACCAGACAGGGGTCCTGTAGCGCAGAGTAAGAGATGATACGTGGGGTCACCACGGATGGCTACTCACTCCAACCCGGGCACACCCTCCCCACCCCTCCCCCAACCCAGGTGACAGATAGGGCCGAGCCTAGGGTGAAGAAAGTTCTGGGCCCAGAAAACTACTCACGTGATCCAGATG